ACCTTCATTAACTGTTGTCTTCGCTCAATACTCAAGATTTGATGGCCAGAAAAGATTAGCGACAAGGATCTCTGGTAATGAGTGAACCAACCCAGCAGGAACCGACTGTGCAACAAATATGCAGGAAGTAATGGAGGTGAATTGGCCATACTATGCGGAAACAAACCATTAAGTGACATCACAAGACAGACCATAGCTCGAGTGGAAGTGGCGAGTTGGTCGTCCAAGGGTGACTTGGAGGAGGTCATGTGAAGAGATGATGAAAGCATGTGGACAGACTTGGAGCCAGGTGAAGACTCTAGCAGAGAACCAAACGCAATGGAGACGCACGGTTGAAACCCTATGTTCCTCTAGGAATTAAAGGAAACAATAATATAATAATATAATTTGTTGCCTAATGAAAACGATTCATTTGAGTAAACCAAGTACTGAATATATGATAAATATAAATGATTATGCTTCATTTTTCTAGACAATAAATTTTAAGGTCAATTACTTATTAATCAAATTATTTAAACTGTATCACATTTGAAGCATAAATTCTAACCGTCTTAAATAGTTACACCTATACACTGAAGTCGGATAGACACTATTTGCATACGTCTATATTTTAATCATAAGCAATTTATATTGACTATAAATTAATTTTGTATTCACCTCTGATTGATGATATTGAATCGAAACGATAGGTTTCTGTTAATGCGTCAGCTGCTAGGGCGGATGCCTCTACGAAGTCCGAGGATTAGCATGATGTTATTAAGACCAACAATTTTGGTGCAGTATAACCAACCAACGAGAAGCACAAAATAATATTTTTTTCTTGCATATGGGCTCACCCTCACGCTCAAAGTAGCTTAGTGGATAAACCTTTGGTGTTTGAAACGATAAGTGCTCAGCTCGAGTCTTTTTCCCCAAAACCCCATCCATACCTTACGTTTTCCACTATCTGTCTTTGGTACCCAGGCAACACAAAAACTTAATGCCCTCTATATTTTGACTTAATATAATTGCCAATATATCCTTTACATACTTTCATCCCACTTTAAATAACGTTATCACGTATAATATAAATACTAATATCAGTTACGACTTTTCATTGAAACTCCAGGCAACTTCATCCTGTAGTCAGTGTTTCGGTTGTACTGAATGATTTTTAGGTGTTGGTCTGCATGGATTTTATTGGTAAGTCATATCACGGTATGACATCAGCTAGAGAACCACTGAAAACCAAGCAGTATTAGAGGGCTGTTTCACCCAAGATTTTGACTCTTGAGAAGTACACACCTATTACCTCACCGAGGATCGAATTGACAGAATTCATCAACCATCGAATTCCATCCCAGTGACTAAATGGTCCATGAGCTAGCCACGCTACTTGAAGGTCCTCAGTCGGGTTATGGGTGCATACTGATCAAGAGCTCCAAACTAGGACCAAACAGCTGTCTAATACTCAATGATTTTCAGTTCTCTAAACAGTATCTGTCCCTGGTCTAACTTAAAATATTCAGTATCACTGATGGTCAGGTAAACATCAATATGTGGAGCTGTATACACAAAATACAACTTAGGGAGATTCTATTGAAAATACTTCAAAAATCTCAGTTCTTTCTATCATTGTTGGATGGCATATTGGGATGTTTTATACATCTATAAGACGGGTTTCTAAAAGTCTTTGTGTACCAGATTCCTTTTATATTCACCAAACATTTGGGATTGTGGCAGAGAACAGAAGATATCAGGTAAAAGTTGGTAGCGTCAGTGTGGATTGACAGACAGTTCTGAGGCTCCCATAAACGACCTGGTGTAGGCGACGATCCGGATTTTCAACTCCAATGTGAAGTCAGTCAGTGCTACTATACGGATCAGAGACTTGCACTGCGCGTCATAAAGAGCATCTCAAACAAACTACAGACCTTCATTAACAGTTGTCTTCGCTCAATACTCAAGATCAGATGGCCAGAAAAGATCAGCAATAGGGATCTCAGGGAGCAAACCAACCAGGAACCGATTGTGGAACAAATAGGCGGGAAGAAATGGAGATGGATTGGCCATACTCTGAAGAAACCATCAAATGACATCACTAGACTAGCCCTCGAGTGGAACCCGAAAGGGAAGCGGCGAGTTGGTCGTCAGTGCAAGGGTGACTTGGAGGAGGTCATGTGAAGGGGAGATGAAAGCATATGGGCAGACTTGGAGCCATGTGAAAACTCCAGCAGAGAACCGAACGCAATGGAGACGCACGGCTGAAGCCCTATGTTCCTCTAAGAATTAAAAGAAATAATAATAATATGATAATAGGCGACGATGGGTAGACTACGTTCTTTCTCTCGAAATGCTCTCATGTGGCCACGCATTCATAACCTCTGCGAAGTAAGTCTAATTCACTGCCTTGATGCAGCAGGAGTGTTCCTCACAAAAGCCAAAGGGAGAATGGAAAAGTCTGGAGCTTAAGACTGGACTGGTGGAGATGTGAGTATACCTAGAGGATCTGGAAAACCCTGATTTCAAACCTATGGTGTACATAGGCTCTAGATTACGAACGCCGTATGAACGTGTTTTGGTCACCAGAATTCATGAGAATGCAGCTCCACTGCCTCATGGATCAAGCTTCAACTCAGTGGATCGGGAGTGGCTTGTTAAGATAACCGCCTAATTCGGTCTTGGCGTCCGGGTAGTGTCCAAGCCCTCGTACAAACTATGAGTTTTTGTTTGGCGCATCTCTGGTAGCCTATAATGTATCAGGTTTGTTTTAATAAAGTAAAATGTAAAAGGGACTTCACTTGGAGCATCACTATGACATCTCACACTCATAATTAAGATAATACTTAAAGATGTGATTGGTGTCACTTACTTTTGCAATTTAATTTTACTAAATGCCCCACAGTATCCATACCTTTAGCGTTTTTAAATTCGCCACGGATAAGGATGTTTTAATAGGTCCTCAAGATTCAAAACACAACAATTGCACAGGGTCATTTTCTATGCATGAGCAAACCAATTGTTAATTTCCCTCTTTGCATACTAAATAGATACCCTTTAAGTGAAGCGGATTCGAATCTCTGAGGGGACACCACTTCATTCAACGTTGCAGATACGCCTTACTGACGAGTACCAACAAGCACGAAAACCAGATAAAGGGCTTCTTGCTTCCAACCGTCTGTCCTATAACGGCGAATGCCTTAACTCAGTAACCATACTACAAAACTGACCGGTATAACTCAGCACCAACACAAAGGACTAGAAACCTGAAAACGCTTACACCCTAGTGGATAAACAATGAAAAACAAAGTAGGTTATTCACACATTATCCACACAAATAAATTTCTAAAGTTACTTGTTTCCAATTTACATGACAGAAGTCGATGGACATTAGGTTGTAACGACAGTTTATGAGATTCCCTGAAATAGTCTTACATTGGCATACCAATAGTGATGTAATAAATGGTGCTTGAAGATGATATATAAATTATTCAGTTACAGTTAGATTGAACTGCTGATAAAGACTGGATGAAATATGAATACGTTTTGCAGAAATAAAGCACTTTAACTTCAAAGGTGATCGACTTATTTATATCCTGAAGAGGATAATTCCGACTTCTTTCAGAAGGCTTTTCGCAGTAACGCTAAGAGCAGTGTCCTCCAGTCGTCCATTGGTCTGCAGAAGCCCGAAGGACAAGACCTATTATTTGACTAATTCTATTTGTATACATCAGTTCACCCGTTCTTCTGGAGCCAGATAGATTAGTCGTTTGAGGAATATCCTGTCTAAAACCAATTGAAGAACGCTATCCCACATGGTTGCAGAAAGGCAGCAGCGACTACATAAGATATGCAATAATTATACGCCATGTAGACACTGGCCGCTCCATCTTAAAAAACTCCTCTTTCAAGGTGATCTACAAATTGGAAAGTAACCTGCCAAAGATGAACCGCTTTCGCCTCTTTTGCATTGCTGGAGATACCTCGATGGAGAAACCGGAGTTATGCATACAAAAGAATATCTTTCATCCACTTCTGTTATCATGATAAAGACCCTATTTTATTTTCAACCTAACTGTATTTATTTCTCTGACCCTTTCTGGCTCATGTGTTCTCCCAAACTCTTACGTAAAACTTCCTTGGATTCCATGTGCACCCTGACTGCGACTCACTTATTAAACTCTCTTATTACATAATTCTACCACCTTTATTCAACTTCTGACTAATATTAACAACTATTCTTGTGATGATTGATCCCTTTCTTATTATCAAATTTTACCATAAAAATCGTATATAAGAGAGACTTCACAGTTAAGGAAAATGAATTCGCTTAAAAGACCCTTTGCTGAACTACTTGTCTTGTTTTTTATTAATACTCGAGTGGGAATTATTCATGAATTAAGAATAAAGCAAACAAATTAGGAAACAATGTTCAAACTACTCACTAGTAGTAAATACAAATGGTTAACAATCAAAGTAACCAGCCTCTGTTAAAGATCAAATGAAAATCTATAGTGTTGAATACTCTAGTTTTTCTAATGAAATAAAACTTCACACTAGTCAGATTTTTAAAGTGACAACCTATGAGGGACAGCATCAAAACTAAGTATGTATTAATATCGAAAATAAGGGATTTGAAGAAGTATTCGACCTCTTCGAGGTAATAGAGCACTAGGTTCGTTTACCCATCCTCAATTTTACCATACAAAATAAATGGCTGCTAACACATTTCTTTCCTCTGAGAAGAAAATTTTGAAACATTTTACAAAGGGTTTAATTTTCGCTCTTGGTTAGACGACGCCACACAGGGAGCGCTTTGTTTAAGATTTATAAATAATAATGCTTTGGACCTTTCACTGCTTAGTACCAGCTTATCCTGAGAAAATGGAAAGCTCCATGAAATATTATTAACTCCGGCAACCTTATTTTAAATTTAGCATAACTATGGTGACACGCATCACGAGTAACCATAAAGAGCAGTGATAAAAAAAGTAATTTACTGAAAAATACAATACAAAAGTTAACTGTACAAAGAATGATATTAATTATAAAAATCAAGTTTGATTATATGGTCCAGCAGCCAAAAGGAGATACGGATGAACATAGTGTAATCCAAGAATTGAAGTACGTCTAGTGTAGAACACCTCATTGGCACAGGCATCAGAAACATCAGGACCGGTTGCTGGAGAATAATAGCCTAACATATTTTGCCCACTAGATCCACTTCCTTTAATACTTTTGCCTGTTTGACGTACTAACTGCTGTTTAGTAAATCGATGCAGTGCCAAAAGGTTAGTCTTCGAACTTTTATCGTCAGGATTACTGCCAGATGAGGTGCTAGTAGCAGTTGACCAACCATTAACTGTATTCCATATTCGCAATGCACCCTCGAGACCACCTGCAGCAAGACGCCCTGAATTACCTGGACAGAAAGCGAGAGATACAACTGGACCAGTTAACCATTGACTTGAATCTTGAGAGTCGAACTCATTGCTTGATGTATTAGCAGAAGCTCGAGATGCTGAATAGCCTCCCAACTGACCAACTTGAAGACCAGATCCCAAGTCCCAAAGACATGTAGTGCCACACCAACCACCACTGGCTAAATAACGTCCACAGGGTGAAAATGCTAGACTCTGTACAGAACCCTGAAATTTTAATAAAGGAACAAGATACACATAAATACGTGGTACAAGAAGTGCGCTTAAATTAAGTCATAATGCTGTTTAACGAAAACAAATTCAAACTTCTTCTCTCTTTGTTGTTTTGAATATTCATATTTTAACCTTGTGGTGACAATAAAACTGTGGTTAACCCATGTCAAATGTCCTAAAATATGAGTACCAAATACTGGTAAATTTTAATATGAGATAAAAGTTTTGACACATTTTTCTTGTAGAAGAGAAAAACCATTTCAAGTACGTAACTTAGATGGAAAAGGAACAATCAGATAAAAAATAAATGGTGCTTATACAGTTTAGTTTTTTTTGACTTATTTGAAGGAAGATTCCTTAGTCTCATCGAAGGCAGTAAGATGATTTCAAGTCATATAAGAATGAAAATGGTAAAAAAAATTCAAATGTTGACATTCAATGATTCGATCTGATTGGTTATAGGATTTCATCATGAGTTGACATCGCCTAGAGAACCATTGGAAAACCAGCAGGGAGTACCGGACAGCTGTTTTGTCCTAGTTTGAGACTCTTCCTCAGCACGCACCCAGGTAGGATGTGGGGACAGATACTCGCCAGCGATGACATTGGCTAGTGGTTGCGCTGTATCATGAATTGGCAGAAGTTAGAATACCTGGGCTTCATTGGATTGGGCCCCAGGGGCTTAATGGTCTACAAGCTCGCCTTATAACCAGAAGGTCTTAGGTTCGAATTCTGGACGAAACAGCTGTCCAGTATACCCAGGTTTTCTAATGATTCTCTAGCCGACTTCCTGTAACCAGTAAAAGAAATGGCAGAAGTAAGAACAACTAGATAGAAAATAGTGAAAAATTTCACATAAAAAAAGGAATAACCATACTATTTAAGAAACTTGAAGTAGATGACAAATAACACAAGCAGGAAGGATCGTACAAATGTGTTAAAATTCTACTTTCCACAGTGATGCTAAATTGATTGCACTTTCTGAACATAAATATAAGGTTTAATTGTTCAGCAGCAGTAAATCGACTCATAGTTCTATATCAGTTAATTACCTTGCAGACTGTTGATGAGTCTATGTTGTCCTCTCAATCAATTACTTAGTGAACAAAGAATTGACAAATTTTTGAAGGTAATCTCTTCTGTAATCTTACTAGAGTATAAGAAAGGTTACTTGTGGTGAATACCACCAATAGAAAATATCATAATAGTGAATGTGCTGTGTTCATCCACAAAGGAGAGATGAATGTTTTAGGATATGTATATTATTTTAGTACACAGATAAAAAATCAGTGGCAAATTGCGACTTTATTCTACTGATTTTGATATGGACAAATAAGTAGTATTATTGGGAATCCTATTAATATGTAATTCATAGATTAATTATGAAATGTTAACCAAATTATTGAAATATTCTCTCAGTTTGTACGATGAACTGGTCAGTTGGTTAGCTAAATTCAGTCTCATGAAACAGTTATCACAATTTAGTTAAAAGCACAAGACAAAAGTGTTAATTTTAGCTCAAATGTGCTATATCTTGTTACAATAAGATATTTGAGATATTCAGAAGTTGGTAAATTTGTACATCTAATTATCCTCTTTGGATTTAGTGAGTTTGGCATAGATAATAGATATTTGTAGTCCCTTCGATCTTGTGTTTATCATGGATGCTTATAAAACGGTGGAAGACCAACTTTAGTAATCGAAACGACTAAAGCATATTCTCCTGTGTTTGACACCTACTTTCAACAGAGGAATATGGTATGTAAAAAAAGGTGAAAAATGCTTTCGTAATGGAGTTCAGGAAACAGATTTGAAACTCGCCAATTGGATGGATTGGTATGGCAATGAGTGATAATGTATTCCCACTCATATTCAAGCCCAGTGCCCGTAGTTTTAAAAGCAAAAGTGTTACTGACTAGGTCACTGTGTCAAAAGGAAATCATATTTTTTCTTAAAACAGAAAAAACCTATTTCAAATTCGTACTACAAAATGACTCGACAATGTTTCATTAGTTTTTTTTAAAAAAAAGGGGATACTCATAACTGTTATTGGACAAAAGAGCATAAATGAGCATTTCGCAAGAGCATTTGTTTTTTCACAGTGTAGAAGCCCATAGATTTTTGGCAGTTAAAGAACCCAATAGTTTATACTTTTCCTCTTTACGTTCCAATATTAAATTGATGAATGAATATAGAAAAACCCAAACCACTTAATTTTTAAAAAATCAAGAAACATACTCCAAAAAATTCCAATTTCAATTAATGACACTGACTAATTACCTTATGACCTGTGTACACTCTTGTCATTTTTCCAGAACGAACATCAAATAATCGAACAGTTCGATCAGCACTGCCAGTTGCAAGATAATTAACATTTGGATGCAAACAGACGGATGTCACGTCCGCTTTATGTCCAACGAAAACACGTAAAGCATCTGGTGCATGATCAGTAGCATATAAATGAGCACTACGATCAGCACCTCCTGTTGCTATATAATGACCGTAGGTAGGTGCCCAAGTAACACACCAAACAGGTAAAAGATGATCACGCCAAGCTGTTAGAGCTCCACCCCAAATCAAAGTTGACCATAATCGCACAGTACCATCGGAACTCGCCGAAGCAATTAGTTGGCGATCGGGACTAAATGCAACTCCAAAAACACTACCCAAATGGCCCAATAGATCTCGAGTTAAGTGAGTCTCACTAAAATGATAAAGAAAATTCAAGCAAATCAACATCATAACATTAGTATGTATAAAAAGCAGTCACTAACGTTACTTAGTCACTAGTTACTTACTCCTCCTACTCAGACTAGTCGAGAAAATTATTCCATATATACCTCATAAGATCTGCACAGCTATGCAAATTTACGAACACAAAACTGTCGTTTCTGATGATTTCATAGACAGATACACACTTTCTAAAATTGTTATACAGGCATCATATGGCTTCGTTTATAGTTAAAGTATTCGAAAACACACTAACCTTCAAAGCCAATGTTAGATACATACTTAGATTTTTTCAAACCCTTACCAATGTGTTCATCGCTATTACTTGAAGGAAACTAATAAGTTATCGAATGGATGTAGAAGAGTAACTCTTTATCTGGAATCAATGAACACATTTTCAAAGCTTTATTACGAAAATTTCATTTACTAAGCTGGACACTACAAACCGTCTATGCTCACCGAAAGCTTTATTTGAATATAGACAGTAAAATTTGAGTGTCTCAAAAAACAACAACAACGGATACTAGTTACTAACGCCAATTCAGATACACCACACAAGAATTGAAGTCAAACATGAGTAAATCAGATCAAAGACCCGTTCATCTAAGATAGCACACCTTTGAAAGACAAGTGAGACAGTGGATAACTACGTATAATCTTACTAAATATAGACACATGAAGCTTTCGAATACTACTCCTATATATGCACATCAAACGTATGACAAAAAGTCAATCAAACGAAACAATTGTGTAATTGTGTAATTGACCCTCAAAGACACATTAATATATATTTACCTTAGTCTATTTTGAAATAATCGGTAGCTTAAGATATGTGAATCCTATATTCTTCTACAAATTTACATCGAAAATACAATTATTTAATCTAGATAGAGAAAACTCTAGCCTAACTGGTCAACTTTTAGAATATAGTGGTGAACTTTGCGGATAAATAGGTGCAATGGCTTCTCCAACTATTTTTTATCCAGAAACACTGATGTTATTGGTGTAAATTCCATATACTAAAATGACTACGACTGACACAAAGCAGAACGCAAGGTAGATAAGTGGAAACCAACTGAATTACTGACTTATGGCCATTACCTAGGGCTCTGAATTTATATTCAGTACTGATTACTTGCTGGCCCTACTGTAAATGAGCAAATCTACATAGACACATCATGAAGTCCCTTGGTAGTTTCTATATTTTTCACTTGCGATACATATTTCTTCGACCTAAACGAACACAAAATACTGCTGCTAGTACTCCCTTTAAAAAATAATCTATGAGGAAGTGTGAGTACTTAATCTTATTTATCAACATTTGCGTGTGCACCAATTCCACAGATATATGTAGACTGGGTTCGAAATACGCAGTTTTTACAAGTAGCCACAAAATAATGAATCAGCTGAAAATAATAGGAAAGCATTCTACAACATATGGTTATCATGCAAATGTTAAAAAACAGATAGTAAACTTTTAAAATAAAAACCATATTTGTAAAAACCCATAAAGTTGCACACACACTTTTTACATAAAGTGACTTACCCGTTTTCATCATACAACATATTAGTTTTCACTCGTGAATCATCTTTATCTAATAAACTCAACTCTGAAGCTGGAAGCATACGCCTTAAAGATTCAGGACCTAAAGACCATACACGAATGCGACCCGACCCAAAGCCTGCTGCTAGTTGTGATGAATCGTCACTAAAACTACAACATGTTACACCACCCCGTCGAATAGCTAGCGTCGATTCACCAGCTTGTGCATTACAAATAGTATAAAGGACTGTACTTGTACCAATTGAAGATTTTTGTGGATTTCGTTGGTGATAACTACGTAATAGAGTTGATATTTCTCGTGAAAGAGCTTGTTTACTTTCAATGTAGGATTCACGAAGCTATAAAATTACAAAACCATATTATAAATAAAAATCGATATATCACTATGCAACATAAAACCTGATGATGCAAAAGAGATTAAACATCATCTGCAGATCTAACACACTGGAAACAATCAGTGACGCGTCAGAAATCTGAAAAAACAAAAGTTCATGCAGACGGTGACATGTACCACCTTAATTCCGTAAACCAGACCTATGCCATATACCTAAGTGTGCCCTGACAGGTGGCTTTAAATTTAAGTATAGAAAAAATGTCGCGTAGTTTCGTTTAAACTAGTTATGAAGAGATACAGCTACAAAACCTAGGGAAAGCAAAATAATACATGCTGTAGTTCAAACCGGTGAATAAGAATTTTAAGTCGTCATTTTATCGTAGGCCATCTAATGTCACAATGCATTTAAAATATAAGTGAAGCTGGACAAGTTTTAGTGAGGACACATTCATTCACTTTTTTCAGTCAGAAGTCGGCTAACCAGAACAGATTTCTCTTGCTTCAGGCTATACGCCACAAAAGGTGGAGCGGGACTCGAACCTGTAACTCACTGGTTAAAAATTGAGTGCTTATTCCAATGAGTAACATCTCAACGACACTAACGCATCCCACCTAATCACCTCGAAAATTGAACGGGAAAACCGCTTCAACATAAAGTCATTATTATTAATTTACGGGTATCCACCAACAATATGAATTTTCCAATGATAGGCAGCTACTAAGCCTTGTAGCTGCCGTGAATTTACACTATTGTTTAACCAGCCAAACTGATGCATGTATGTGGTCAAGTAATTTGGAAAATGACGTCAAAAATGTAAGGAAACAATTGTGTGGGACAGTAGCATGATAATAAACAAGCACTACCTTCGGAATTGGGATCCGATCAAGGGCTGGAGAATTTGAATCAGACTTGCTCCCATCCTTCAACAAAGACGATCTACTCGAATGTCCAGAACCGTCACGTCGCTTTTTCTTTTTCACGACATTCTGGTCATCGCCTTCTAGTAATTACAAAAAAAGCAATTGAGCTCCCTTTGGAAATAATTAAAAGAGCTAACAGTTAGGATGAAACGAGAGGTAGAGACCACTTACCTACAATAAACAGAAATAATTACTACTACATCAGGAAATCAGGATAATGCGTTACCCATGCAGTTGAAATGCAACTCGTCTAACAAGGGGCTAAAGCAAGGTACACAACAGGCTTAATAGATCAGCCAAGAGTAAAAGTGAAAACACCAGAATTTAAAGAATAAAAGGAAACTAGCAGTACAGCGTTGTGCATACTACAAATACCATAGTAATCTGGAATGCAATGTCTACTACCACAAAATAACACAAATATCTGACAATAAGAATCACCTTCATTATCAACAAGACCACCTTCATTATCATTTAAGTCATTTCCTGTGTCCATCTCCACTGGAAGATCTAGTGAAGGATCCCTTAACAGACCATATAAAACAGGTTCTTTATTCGCATCACAACGAGCCTCTCCGAACAAAGCACCACGACGGCAATCAATCTGCAATTTTGACCTAGGAGGACCATTAATGGCTAAGATTTTAGTTAAAGTATTTCTGAGTTACTTTCAACTGAGAGTTGTTCTCTGAGGATGCTTTGAATAACATTCATTTCTTTTTCTTGAAGAAAATGGCGCAGTAGAGAGTATGACTCAGCAGAAACGCTAACGACGAACTCCGAAGATCGAAATGACTCAACTAGCGGGTTCATAAACAAATGTTCTGAGCTAGTGATGTTAGATAACATATTAATATCAGATTGGTAGAAATCTTCTTGATACTTCCTGAACATGTTTAAAAACTTCTTGGCTAAAAATAATGGTTGTCACTGTTAAACACAAATTACCTTCTACAAAAATGTTTGCACTTATGAGACGCAGATACATATATACAAAAATTGGAAAAAGTAAAACTGACAACTCCACCTAAGATAACATATATGCGCAGCTTTTTACTTGTGTATACCTTATGTATGTCAGGCACTGAATCAATGAACGTGAGCACAGACTGATAGTTGGAACAAAAGTTTTCTGGTTCATCTTTCACTTGACTAAAATAATTATATGGAAACCGAAGTTTACTAACGCTTTAAATTTCAAGAACTCTTCCGCGACTTTTTCATCTATAAACCCCGCCTCCTGTTTCAATGCTAATTCGGCTTCCTTTATCAGTCATAAATACAGTATAAATCCGCACCTTAAGGTTATACTTCTGGAGAATCTTTAGAGCATTCAGAACTTCTTCATTAGATACCATCGTTCCAAAGCGTCCGAATAGCGCGGGTAAGCGGTATTCAGCATCCCATGTCCTTGGACATAGTTTACTAAAATTAATGTGTTAAAAATAAACCGTAGAAGTCACTTAGATGACCTCCAGCAAACAGTCATGTCACTAATCATGAACGAAGCGAAATTCTTGATTCCTGATTTTGCATTTGACCTGAATTATCTCCTTTTACTGTCTAGGGTTAAGAGTTAGTGATAACGATAAATTCAGAGCTCAGTGTTGGTCCATGGTTAGAGATCAGGTCTAATACTAGAGTAAGTATCAGTGGTTAGGATAACTCAGGAATGTCCCTTATGGAAGTTTAAATACTGAAATATGCAATCAATCAGCAAACTCATTTTACAGTCCTTTATTGAAATGTAAATACAAGTTTATTTGGTGACTCATATAACTTATCTTCAACAGTCGGTAATTCTCCTCCACTTCGATCGTCTTTCCTTCATATGGCAGATTCAGTCATCTGGTGTAGTGCATTCGAGTGCATTAAGCCGTTAGTTGATAGCTCACGGGATTGTGAAATGTGCCCATCTTAAGTGGTGATGTAGGAATGGATTAATAATGTAACATTCAAGGAAAGTAGAGATTAAATATTGAGGCTTACAAGAGGAGCAAAACTAATGCCATATGGAGGACAGCAGGGAATCCACTCTTACTTCATGATGACAGTCATGGTCCAACTTCAATAAAATGCTGAATCAATGCGAATAAGAATTAAACCACCCGAATTCTAAGTAGGTGCTTGACCACAATAAATAATAAGAAATAACCAATATTGTTTCGTAGCCATAGTTCTAATGTAGTTTCTCTTCTGGCCTTACTATTCAAGCCTCCTAATACACAGTTAAGCGCACTAACAAACTATTCTCTAGTGCAGATTTCGTCACGAGCATAAACCAGTTTGAGGAGGTCACTGAAAACAAGGGTGCACTGAACGGCTGTTTGGTTTTGGTTTGGGGCTCTTCATCAGCTCATAAACACGACCAATCAAAGACTCTAATTTAGGATCCTCAGGTTATGAGATCAAGCTCGCTGACCGCTCAGCCACCTGTACTGGAATTCAATGGCCTTTGAATTCTAACTTCGGTAATTCGTGATATATATGTCAAAATAATCACGAAACCACCCAACGACAGCGCTTTTAAAGTGAAAAGAAGGTTGCAAGCACGCTATTGAGGGATTTGGATGAGGAAGTCTTGTGAAACAAGTTCAAAGGCACTAGGCACCCAGTACATATCTGCAAGTAATATAAACCTCGTGGAACATGAAGATATGGAGTAGGGTCCATTCTACACAAAAAGACCTGGTCACTCAGAGGCCCTTAGTGATCAGGAAATTCAGAATGACGAATAAATATCCAAGTATCCTCATGATTTGTAGAGCTCTCATTATCTACTGAACAATCAGTGCTCATCCTTGTGTCTGACTAGGTTTTTTGGCCACCTAGTCGTGACTCTGAAGGGTCCTTAGTATAGTGGGTTGGTAGGTGACTGTGTTTTGTCACATCTCACCCATACATGGTTGCAGGAGTCCATGCAATTGGCATGGGAGGAAATCAGTCTTAAGCTAGCCACTTATAGCTGAAGCCTGTCAACTTATGTGGACTCGCCAGAGTTTTTCCTACCAGCACTATGAGCAATAAACTCGCCAGTTAGTCTCAGTGTGCTTTCGAATACCACTTCAGGAGCGGAACATTGGACATCAGTTTTTGTTGAAATTCGGTTACCAAACACCATCACTGGGAGGGATTCCATCCGGCGAGTGGGGTTATAGTGAGGTGTCAACGCGGCTTTCAGTTGTCGATGAAAGCGTTCGTGCACGCCATCAGCTTATGGTTGATCTGCATCCAGAGGATTCCGTGTGATCCGGGGAACTTCGACGAGTTGTTGGAAAGCCCCGACTCAAATTGAGGCCCTCTGTCAATTGTTATTGCTATATGCACCCCGGACATGGTTACTCAGTGTTGAAGAAGGGCTTTCACCACTGTTTCCGCCGTAATATCAGCGAGTGATGCAGCTACAGGGAACCTGGTGAACCTACCGGTGCATATGGGAAGGTAGGTGAATCTGTCTGAGTACTGTAAGGGACCTACTAGGTCTACGTGAACATGAGCGAAACGGGTATCTGGTTGCGAGAATGTCCCTGAGGGTGACATTGTGTGATTGTTTATTTTAGCCCTCTGGTTTGCTATGCACTCTATTAACCAATTCTACATGTCGCGTTGTAGGTTTGGTCAAATATCTTGCCAAGATTAGTTTGGCTGAGGCTTTTTTTCAGGGTGTAATAACAAGTGAAAATTACTAAACATGACTTTCATCAATTTTAGGGACGAAGGGTCACTGCGAATCTTTCGTCGTTTCCCAGTATAACAAGTTGCCAACTGCAGGAGATGGTACTTGTTTAAGTTTGAGACAACAATTAAATGCAGTGAGAATTTGCTTTAACTCTCCATCGTTCCTTTGGTTTTCCGTTAGTCCTTTGAATTCTACGGAGGTTTACTGCACTGCATTGATGTTCATTCCGGATAGTGCGTCAGTCACATATTTTTCTGTCCCCTTCATGGGTCATATATCACTGATGAATTGCGATGAAAATTCAAGGTGACGAATTCCACTTAGAGAATATTTGTCTGTTCGCGTGGTGAACGCTTAAGTGAGAGTTTTGTAATCTGTGTAGATCGCGTATGATCTGGTCTCTACCATGCAGCCAGCGTTTAACAACTGGGTAGATTTCTGGTAGTTCTCTGCCAAATGTAGAACATCTCGATTTCGTAGAATAGTTAAGCCGTTTAGAAAAGAATGCCACTGATCACTAGCTATTCTCTATCAGCTGGTTTGAAGCTGATGCATCTATCATTATCGCAAAAGGAGCATCCGTATTAAGTTATTTCAGGGTTTTGGCTTTCTCCAACGCTCCCTTCAGCTGTGCAATTGCTTCAGGTAACTCTTTTGACAAATGGAAGTCTTTCGGTTTTCCTCTTAATGCGTAAGTCATGGGTAAGATGCATCGTGCACAATTGGGTACGAAGCGCCGATAGAAATCGATCACCCCCGGAAAACCCTGGAGTTGTGTGAGGAATGCTTGATATACCTCGCGGTACGTTCGAAGCTGGTGACACTTTTGCACGTGTTTTCGCTGATATTCATTTTGCAGTTCTGCTATATTATAACCAATAATAATGGGCAAAAACTCTAACAAGCGTGTTCTTAGGAACGCTAGTAATTTAGAAAATAGCTTAAGCTTATCTTGTTACGCATTATCACCCCTAAAATCGGCTGTAATTCACCCAATACAAACGTTTCCAACATAATGCTAACCCCAGTAATACAGGCGGAAGATATCCTATCAGAAAAGGCAGAGATTACTAACTTAGTCTGCATCGTAAACGACATGCAGCTACAAATAAATGACCTAAGGACGAAACTAAATCCACTTGGCCCGGTACCAGAAACAATCTTCCATCTTAAAAAGGAACTGGGGAACTTTGGCCTCCACTACGAAATTCAAAAATGTTAAAATAGTCTCGGACAAAACCCCCAACCAACGACAAGTAGCTAAGAACACCTCAGATACGAACACGATAATACCACAAATCATGAATAGCGGCAGTGTCGAAGTATCGAAGGACACTGAAGCACAAAGTGACACTCGCCTTGTACTAGGTGAACAAACGACATGCGAAGGTGGAGGGAAACACAAAAGGGGCAGTAACACTGGAATGGATCTCAAAATTCGTGAGAACACTCCCAAGAAATCTACCAACCGCACATATGAAGTAGACATAGATGCTCCCGCTACAGATAACCTGCAAATATCGGCAGATCACACTGCGCCCAGGGCCAAGCAAGGTAATCTCACTGTAAAAGCCGAAAAGAAGTCTCTTAAAACCAAGGTCGCTCCACAGGCGTCCATATACCTCCCTTGTGACAGGCCCAACAGGCAGCACGTAAGCCTAAAAACGAACTATGCACGCATTGCGGCAGGTTACACAAAGGAGACGGAACACGTGAGTGGAAGTGCTCTTCGTCGAACTAAGAGTAGTAGACAAACTGTGGACAACAGACTACACGAGGTGAAAGCTAACAGCAAAAATAGCTCTATCCACACAAAATCATACGCTAGCAGACATGCAAGGGGAGTCGAGCTGATTAAACAACAGAGTGAGACCCACGATTTCCGTTATAGCCTAGGTTGTAATATGCCTATAAGCTCATATAACCTGAGAACGGGACCTATAATAAATAATGAAAACACACGGGCTACTAGACGGGACACCACTAGGTACCATATGAACGGAAATGCATACTGGAACCCTCATAGTAAGCCCCATTGGCATAACGGGCATAGATTGGTTCACGGTCCTTCTAGGTACATGCACAAAGTTAGTCAGCAAATGTACAACCACTTAAGACCTAGCAAGCACTGCCCTCAAAACAACCTAAAAACAGGGTACTTCGGCCCTGTAAATTACAATCTGAACAGTGAAACAGAGGCCAGAAACCAATACGTGCAACAGGATTGTTTTCGGTTACAGCAAACAATAGCCCCTCTTGCAGCACAGTTCGTTCAGGGAATAGTAGACACACTGACAATATCTCGTGTGACATTCCTTTCGAACAAAACGTAGGCAACCAGGAGTTAGGGATAGTGAGAAGAAAACCTACTAGCCATCCTCCCAACAACCCTGGTTTCCTGAAGATTATGCTCTTAAATGCTCGATCTCCCCTTAACAAAATAACTTCCCTTCGCAGCTTGGTATACAAGGAACGGCCAACACTGATCCTGGTAACTGAAACTTGGCGTACTAATGGTATACCTGACATGAAGCTGATAATTGACAACTATGACATCCACAGGAATGATAGAGTGGACAAAAGAGGAGGCGGGTGTCTAATATATGCTTCTAAATCCACTGACTCAAATACTTTTACAAACCTAACCATCGACAAACTCCCAGAATCTAAGTGGATAAGCATCCACACGAATGAAAGTAAAATTCTAGTGGGATGTATATACAGAGCTCCTAACAGCCC